CGAAAGGTAAGTCGCGGAGAACTTGGTTGATGAAGCGCTGAAAAGTCTGAGCAGAGTTACGTAGTCCAAAGGGAATCCTAACAAACTCGAACAGACCAAACGGTATAGTAATCGCCGTTTTGAAATATCTTCTGGAGCACCGGTTATCTGATGGAAGGCTTTGATTAAGTCAGTACTGTAAAACACTGTTGCTCCTGCTAGGCTAAATGAAAAACCGTTTACATGGGGAAGGGGATACCTGTCAGGCACAGTGCAGGTGTTTAATCGTCGATAATCCCCGCATGGGCGCCAGTCAACGAGGGACTTTTAACACACAATATGTAAAGGTGCAGCCCATCGACTAGTGGAAGGCCTAATTATGCCTAGCTCCATCATGTGACTGAACTCAGCCTTAGCGATAGCTAACTTGTCGGCGGCTAAACGACGAGAACGACTAAAAACGGGTGGTCCGGAAGTCGAAATATAATTAACGACAGAATGCTTAATGGGTTGATAAATTGTGAGTGTCGTGTGATAGAATAAAATTTCGAAAATAAGCGATGATAGGAAGTACACAAAGGGATTACTGAAATGCGTGGATTAGGGGATGAAAGGGTACGAGTAAAACATTTACAGTATGAAAATGTCTTAGGGTCATTTAGTTTCTGGGACTTCATGTCAACGAGAAGGCCGAAAATGATAGAAAATCAGCGCAGAGAATGGCGGTATGAACGTCAACAATAGTAAATATCCAACGAAATGAACAGTGCAGACCCAAATCTAGAGAAAGGGATCGTTGACCAGACGTTTTTTATAAATGTAAAATTGGCTGCTTGAAGCGAAAAGGAAGAATTAGGGGACATACGATCGGTCGAATTTGGTGGGAGAAGACTGATTTCAGATTCAACAGTCAACGAGAAAATTACAGCAGGAACTCCTGTCATAAATGTGAAGCAGGCGACTGGGAGAGGATGGACCGGCCAAGTTGGTCCCCTTTACTGGTCGGAAGGGACGTTTTCCAGACGAATTTGAGTTGAATGTACACGGAAATTTGCAATGGTGGGCGTGAGAACCATAATTGTGATGGTACCAACAGAAATCATAAGTTGTAGTTTGGTCTGGAGTGAGACCTCGGGCGTCCAGTACTCGAAAGACTACGTTTGTAGACGCGAGTGGATTGAAGCTGGGTAATTTCACAAGTGAGGGCATCAAGGCGTGACACGACGTCGTGGATTGTAGGTGGGGTTGTGTAATCACTAGCGGGGGTGTGATAGTGGTGTGAAGACCCGCATCCGCGCGCCGTGTGTCATCGGTGCAAAGGTCATAAACTGAAGTTAGGTTCGTTCCCATTTGTTGACATATTAGATGCAGCCCTCTTATTGGTTAAAAAAACGATAAAGCCGCGTGAACGCGTTCATGGGGAAACCTGACAAAATTTTCGGTCAGGGGAATAAGAGTCGCGAATCCGCATAGAAATTGTCAGCAGCTTTATGCAATGTAAGGCACCATTAAAAATCCGAGTCACTAATGTAGGATACGAAATAGTCTATCCAAGAATCTGAGATAGGAGTATCCCAACAGTTACTGACCAGTAAATAAGAAGAAACTCGCGTGCAGATAAAAGTACATGCTTGTTCAAAGTGTTATTTCAAAGTTGCGTTAAGTTAATGCAAGGCAATTTAACCAAATAAAACAAAGAGAAATTTCAGCGTCACTACAAGACCACTGAAGCTACTGACTTTTCGTGCCTCGATGTCCTCTCTGTATATCGACGACCTAGGGCAGTCCGAAGTGCAAGTCGATCTTTTGTGATAATCAGGGACGAACTGAACGCACCATAAAGTTACTGGAGTAAGTTTTAAGCGTGTTTTCCAAAATCAAATTCTCACTGCGCAGTCCTTGAAGGTATTCTTCACACAAACTGTTATCTTACCACTCAAAACACATGAAGGACAATGGGCTAATTGCCTAAGCCTAAATTTTACAAAGATATCAGACGGTATCGACGAGTTCAGCTGCATGACATCATTCGGTCGAAGTGACCATATGGTGCTTATGTTGGATTAACCGTTATTTCCAATCGGCTGCGAGCACATATAACCGACCAAGACAGGAGGTCGGTGTTTTCGGGTAGTGCCTACGAAGATTGGGTGATTTTATAGGTTGCTCTTCTGCAGCTCAACGACCACCATTGCGTACTGAAAATGTAAATCAGAACAAGCAGACTAGGCGGCTAAATAGCAACTTAGAAGGACATCAACGAAAAGCCTAAATTGTGAATAAACCACTACACCACTAGCCCAGCCGAATATTTTAACAATAAGAAAACACCAAAAGGAAAACTGAGAAGCTTGATAATTAAACGCATCGGGGATTTCAGAAGAGTTTGCTTCAAAAAAACTACGTAACTTCGCAAATTATCTTGCAACTACCTATGAAGAAATTCAATAAGCAGGTATCAAATTCCATGGACGTTAAAATCGCTGAAAATAAAGATAATGGCAGCTATTTTTCGTAGTTTTTCCCATTGGCCTCCAGTAACGACGCAAGGAAAATCTCTCCCCCGAAAGAGATCTGCCGACTCAAAACTAGGAAAAGGGGCTTCCAGCCAAGCTTCTTTCTTGATTTACCACCATTGCCCACGGCTTCGCACGAAACAACAGCAACTCGTTTTAAATTATGTTGTATTCACTTCCAGCCCCAAAACTATTCTTGTCCAGCGAGGTTGGCGGGGGGTTTGGCAGGGTTAGAGGAGGTCGGTGCCGGGGATACTATGGGGCAATTCACCCATATGGTTCCCTCTTAGCCCTCCGTTTGAAAAAAAGCGCAGGTGGTCACCCATTATCGCGACAGTGACTCCCCCAAATGTTGGGTCCTCCATACGGCAGCTGGTAGCCGTAGGGATCCTCTGCTCCACCCACTCTCGCACGACATAGAACACAAGGCGCACTTGTGACGAAAATACATCCTAAATGTATCCTAATTTGTATTGGCTGCAAATATGCTAGAGTTATTTGATATCACAAAGGAAACTGTGTGTAGTCCTTTAAATATAGACAAAAATAATCTGACCAGAAATCATGTTCAAATGTGTCCTCTCATATGCGTCTTAGAAATACTATCTTGTAGTGTGAATCGGCGACGGTTAGTGGAAATTCATATCCACTATTCTTTCTCGGATTAAAATGACCCTTTTGGTGTGGTTTCGTATTCTTGTTCTCTACGTTCGTTTGGTATGCGAGTTAAAGGCGAGATAGGGAAACAAACAGACCTGCCAATACAAGCAAACATGTGAGTCGCAGAAAGTAATTGAGAAGAAGACGGCTCGATCGCTGGGACAATACGTTTATTCGCCTGACGTTTCCACATCCGTCGTGGATTCATCATCAGAGACATAAACAAGAAACAGTAGCATAAACGTTTCTCTGTCTCTGATGATGAATGCGCGATGGATGTCTGAACGTCAGGCGAATAAACGTATTATCCCAGCGATCGAGTCGTCTTCTTTTCAAATAGACCTGGGTTTACTCAATAAACACAATAATGAATATCAGGTAATAAGAATCCGTAAATAAGTAAGTGCCAAGCCCTAATTTGTGCTAAGGAACACAAGCTTAGATTTTGAAATATGCATATTATACCTGAAACATGCGAGGAGTCCCAGTGCCGTCTCCGTGATAATGTATGGTATGCTAGCAGCTACTTATTAAGCCGTAATCGAGGATAAATTTGGGGCATAAACATATGTTTGCCGTTTAGTTTTCCATTGATTCGGCAACGCACAGATTTCGTTTAATGTTACACAGATACTTGAAATTGGCTCCCCTAACTAAAGAATTTTCGTACCTGCATTTGGGTCAGTGGTTTACATTTTCACACCCTTTACGTCTGGGAAGCAATCGCAGATAACTTTTATGTATTGTCAACCTTTTGCTCGCATAAAAATCATTTATTTTTTAGTATCGAGTGCCCTATTGTACTTGTGATTCATTTGAGTGCATGTAAATAATCTTTCGAAGTGCGTATATTTTACCATTTTCATAGCTACTTTAAATTTACTAATCTTATCGCGCGTTTTTAAGTTTCCTTTCTACAAGTTATTGCACCTTGCGGATGAATACAATCAAAGTGGA